GTATTTGTGAATTCCTTGATGCTTGATACCTTGATGGAGAAGCCTATTTATAGGCTTTGAGAATGAATCACCACCACAAAATATTTTTTTCCTTTCCAAGCACCATTGCCTAATTTTCCCACTTAATGCAATATTGAAATTGAAGTGGTGTAACTTATGGCCTAATTTCCCACTTAATACCATTTTAAACTTGAAGTGGTCCTACTTATGGCCTAATTTCCCACTTAACACTATTTTAAACTTGAAATGTGTATGCTTTGTCATTGCCCAAATGAGAAAAACTTGCTTTGATCCGTAATGGATTGAAGTGTGCTTGCCTTGTCATTGCCCAACATGAGAAGAAAAACTTGTTTTGTCCTTCAAGGGTATTTCTTCCTATTTTGTTGAGTCACATGCCATGTGTACAATTTGTACAACACGTGGCGTATGCCATGTATGCCTTGACACGTCAAAACTTTAATGCATTGGTGAACATTTGTTTTACTGAAATTTCGATGTCTACAGTTTTATTTATGGTAGTAGAGAAAGTTAAATCCTTACCCTAATAGAATTACAACTCCAACAAGATATTAACTACTCGAGGGAATATACAAGATACTTCTAAATATACTAAGGTTTACGCAATCACGTTCCTAATCCAATAAATATAGCGTATGCCTACGCACTTTGTGTGTGTAAATATATTTATTTTTGTTTTTAAAACAATGAGGAAGGAAAAGAGAGAACGTGTGAGTGGAAGTCAGAAGAGATATTTTGTTTTTAACCTTTTTTTAACTTTTTAATATTAAATATATGCTAAAATCACCCAAACCAAATGCGTTGTTGACACGGTTGGCAGAAAATTTTGACGCCTATCAAAAAAAAACACAAAATTGACATGTTAATAATAAAAACACTCGTAGCAAAAACATTAATCAGCAAAAGCTTTCTACTGTTTTTCGATTGGTACCTTTACCTTTCTCCATAAACTATGCTAGCCCTCATTAAACATCACCGTACAACATGCTAAAATGGCATTCCACAAAGATTTACATCACAATAAAGTAGCTTGAGAATTCAATTCTTACATCTAGAAACTGAGATTTCCCAGGAAAAAAACACCAACACAATGACCTGAAAATCCGGATCCATCGGAAGAAGTAGCCCACCGTACACGGCGGAAACAATTGGGCCGATACCAATGGGAAATGCAAAAACAAAGGGAACCACATCACGATATGCATTTCGGAGGAACGCATACACATGAGAAAAAAAAAGAAAACATTATATGATTAACAGGGCTGAGCATGTCATGTACTTTGAGTCTTTGATCCAACCCACCATTTAATCACTTCATATGCTTTTCGATTCAGATCTACTATTTTGCTTTCTTAAGGTGAGCTGATGTAACAAACTCGGCATCATCCCTCACAAAACTCCACCAGAGGTATGTAACAGGTATGTTGATTGCGTTCCAGAGTGCGTGCGCGTCTATAAAGCCTCGGTAAGGTGGGAAGTCGTATATCTCGAAGAACAGGGCAAGGGCTCCTCCTGCCACTACCACCCACAACTGCACTCGCGATGGATGACGACTAATACCAGCCCAAACTGCCCATGTAAGAAGCTGAACAATACCCATGGCCATGCACACCTTCACATTCAAACCTGCAAAACTTGTATAAGCTCATTGACACGGCAAACAAAAAGTTTGGCTCGAATTTGCAACAGAAAGATATGGTTTATCATTCAATGATATCGGGGGCATTTTGGAAAATGTCCTACCGTAATCAAGTTTATAGAAGTTCAGGTACAGTATGTGTGTGGTCACGAAAGCAATCAGCGGAGCAGAAACCATGACCCTTGCAGCCTCATCTCTCACATTAAAAGCTCGAAATAGGGTCAGAATGAGTGAAAATCCAAGGAGTGCTACAGAAGAAGAATAATCCAGCTTCTCTGTCAACTCTACGTCTCTACATTGGATAAGGAAAGAAGCAGTTAACAACTGTCTGAAAACAATTAACATAAGATTTTAGATGAACATATCAAAATTGTGTTCTTCCTTCACACGAGGCACAACCAAGGCACAAAAGTTTTGTATTCGTTACAAGGTCAGAACCACAAGCTATAGCATAATCTTACTGTTGAAAAATTGGCAGAGAATTCTAGACGATGGAATACCCTAATTCCATTTGCACAACACTACACTAATTCTTGTCCTGCTGTTATAAATTGCGCCAATTAATTTGTATAAATCCAAAGGTTGCGAGGTCTAAGGAGTGCAAAGTACTAAAATATTATCTTTCACCTAAAGTTGACATTTTGGAGCAGATAACTGTTGTATACATAAATCACTTATGGTGTCGAGGAATTCAAAACCACTTACCGGCTATGAAATACCCCACTCCAAAACCAGGCATTCATTGATAAGATCCCATAGATGTGCCACATACCAGTATACTCGTAGTACGTCTTCTTATTTGGATTCAAAGGCAACTTGTAGTATACAAGGATGAAAAATGATATCCAACCATGAAATTGAATGGCAAGATTGATAGCACAGAGAGCAACAGCAACGGGTTCCTAAACAAGTTCATTAAAATGGTTAGGCCATATCAGCAAGTCAAATTAGCTTAATCAGATTAATAATCAACCGACGCTCTCTACAAAATATCAGTGAAAGACCTGGATGCCATAAACACGTCGCAATGGCCATTTCCCATGGTATTTGACAGCCTTATCGCCGAGTTTCTCTCTCTCTTCCTCCCTAGCAAGCATGCAGTGGTACCTGCAGTCACTGCGACAGTCCCATTGCTTCCAGCGCAAATAGAGGGGCTCTTGCATGTACCACGGACCATCAATAGGTTTCCCATCTGAAGAAAATTTACAGTGTTGAAAGCATGTGTCCCCTACACACCCAGATTTTTCGCACTCCGCCACACAAGACCTGGAAAACCCATAAAACCGTAATGATTATCATTCCATAACCGTCAGAGCGAGCCCAAAACAGATAAATACACGAAGCATGACGAAATGAAATTCCGTGAATGTAAATTTTGCACTTGTGAAATGAAATCACATCAAATAATATACTCATTCAGGTAAAGCTCCTGAATCTAATTTATGAATTATGGCACAGCATAACCATTGTTATAGCAATTAAATGCAAGTTACGTATAAAATATTTTTATTTTATTTTTTCCTAGCATTAAATGATTGTAGAATTTTCTTAAGTTTAATAATATAAATCCTTCATGTTCTAAAAGACGCTAGGCACTAGTGAGTCGCGAAGAGGGGCCTAGCGCCTATACGTAGCAGAGATTTTAACAACAGTGCCATCAGTTAACAAAAGCATCACACTAATCGTTGATTCGGTGTGCCAATTCCATTTCCGAGTTTTCGACCCCGGAAACACGAAAACTTGATCAAATTTCTCTGTAATTTGGTTACCCAAACAACTAAACCTAGCTCATCAATCAAACAATTAGAGCATTCAATTGAATTAAAATACTCCAAATAAACAACTCTATGAGCTCGACTAATATAAATAAATCAAATCAAATACTGATACTGATACGAACACAGAAAAACTGAAACAAAATGAAAGCGAAAATCCAAGTATGTCCAAAAATTAAACGAAAGATTACAGAAAGGAAGGGCATACTTGTAAATCGGATCAGCATCGCCATCACTGGCGCGAAGAGCCGGAAGCAGAGAGGAGAGCAAAACGAGGAGGAGAATGCAACGAAGCTGCGCCATCGGATTCTCGGAAGCAGAAAGTCAAAAGCGTAAGAATCTTCTGGAGGTTTCTAGAGCTGGCGAGGAATGTTCGTGCGGAGATGCGACTAGTTGCGTCGCATGGAACCGCGCGGTTAGAGAAAGAGGAGAGAGAGGGCGGAGGAGGAGGAGGAGGAGCTGAGTGAAGGAGCGAGAAGGGACGAGTTGATGTGAGAGAGAGAGAGAGAGGGGGAGGAGGAGGAGGAGCTGAGTGCAGGAGTGAGAAGGGACGAGTTGAGGCGATTTGGTTGGGATTGCGTGAGTTGGGTGGTGAATCGAGGCGATGGGGCGGAGACCAGAATCTCGTGAGGGTCTCAACTCTAGATGATTCTCGATGAGACACGTGGCCGGGTACTGGAAGTGCTGAAGCTGTACTCTCTCTCTCTCTCTGTCTCTCTGGCCTCTGCCCCCCCCCCCAATTTATTTTATTTCCTTTTTCTAGTCCCTGTTTTGCCCGTGACGCAGTGAAACATTGAGGACATTAATGGTAAAAAAATTAAAGTTCGGTCAGCTCAAGAGGTAGAATAAATCAATTTATATTGTGCATATAATTTCTTCGTCGTAAAATTAATCAATTTATATTGTGTGTATAATTTTGATGGAGTTTTTTTGTTAAAAGGATTTCTAACATGAATATGTTCTATTTTCGTGATTGATAAATTGAAAATAGGCTAAATCAAACAAACTGAACGATCTAAATATTTTAAATTAGACTAATTTGAGTGGTTTGATTTTACTGCAAAACAAAAAAGTGTAAAATTGATTCGAACGTTGCCAAAGCGTAGTTAGTTCGGTTTCATTTTGTTTGGCATATATGAAATTTGCCTCAACCTTAATATCAAGTTCAAATATGATTAAATTGGTAATTGCTGTTATTTTGATGGACTATTTTATTTTTGTAAAAACAATGTAAGGAAAACAAGTTCAGACCTCGATTGTAGAGATAAATATCAAGTTTGAATATGATTAAATTGGTAATTTCTTATTTTGTTGGACAATTTTACTCTTGTAGAAATAATATCAATGTTGAGCAAATCGAGCTTCCGACCTTGACTGTAAAGATAAATGCTTTACCCTCAAACATTAAAAAAAATGAAAAATCATTTTTGGAGAAATAAAAAATGGTTACGGAGAGAGAGAGATATATACTTTCGGAGTTTGGCGCGTGGTGGCGAATATATCGTGTTCTAATCCCTATTTCCACTGCCAAGCAATCCACTCTCGAGAGCGGCAACAGAGCAACCGCCATGACCTCTCTCGTACTCTCTCTCCCTCTCACTCCCACCCCGACGGGCGCTCGCACAGTCGCCTCCAAACTTGCCCTCTCCTCTCTCCGCCAATCACATCCCTTCCCGCGGTTTCCACTCCGCCTCCGAAAACCCATAAAGACCACCGCCGCCTCATTCGCCTACGTGTCCGGACCCGCCTCCGACGCGATTGTCAGCGAGCCCGACCCGAAACTTGACGAGTCCGACGCCAATGTCCAGCCCCCGAGCGTGATTGGCTGGGGCCTCTTATGGAGCCTCCTGCTCAAGCACAAGCTGCGGCTCGCCGTCTCCGCCTTCGCCCTCATCGGCTGCAGTGCCTGCACTCTCTCAATGCCCATATTTTCGGGTACCAATTTTTTGTTTCGCTTCAAAGTTTCCATTTTTTGCCTGTTTGGTTGCCGAGAAAATTGAATGGACAGAAAGGAAAATAAAATCCCTAAAACCAATGTAGCTGACTTGCTGTTTTTTTAGGGCGGTTTTTTGAAGTGCTAATTGGGAAGAGGCCGGAGCCTTTGTGGAAGCTGCTGAGTAAAGTCGGTGTCTTGTATGCATTGGAGCCAATTTTAACGGTCATCTTTGTTATTAATTTGAATACTATTTGGGAAAAAGTTATGTCCACGCTCAGAGCTCAGATTTTTGGAAGGGTTTTGATTCAGAAGGTAAAACTCCAGTCATTTCATTTTCGATCGTATCGATTAATACAAACCTGAATTCTCTTAATGTGTGATCCTGTTTTTCTTTTGTTCATTGTTGCAGGTCGAATTTTTTGACCGTTACAAGGTATGATTGTGATAGTTTTTTTAATAAGGAGTTTTTTATTTTTTTTTTGTGCATTCTGATCGAGTTGGATTTGCTCCATATAGGTTGGTGAACTGACGGGATTGTTGACATCTGATTTGGGTTCTGTTAAAAGTGTTGTGAGCGACAACATATCGAGGGACCGAGGATTCAGGGCACTTACTGAGGCAAGCAACTCTACCACCAAGTACAAGTGAGCTTTATGTTGCCTCCATTTAAGCATGTAATACCTGGTTTTGAAATTCACTCAGTTTCACCACTAGAGCACCAAATTGTATCCCGATTTTTGGATGTACTTATACTGACATTAAGTTATTTTTTGCGAATGTGGTTATTATAATTGTATGAATCAAATTGTTGCAGGAGAAATCTGGGTTAATTTTCGACTCATGTTCATGTGGGTCTAATATATGTTTTGTTTTCTTTGTTTTTATAGGTTATCGGGACAGTATGCATACTGTTTACTTTGGCTCCCCAACTTGCCCCAATCTTGGCGGTGCTGATGCTCACTGTGTCTATTTTAGTTGGTATTTGTCTTATCTTCAAGACTCTTTTAAATTGATATTGCGTGGTTTTGTCACATAAACTGCGGTTTTCTTTATGTGATTTAATTATAGAAATCCTCAGAGCTTAATAATGATTTGCATGCTTATATTTATTAATCTGTTAGTATGCTGAAATGTTCACAGATTAGAAGTGACAAGCACTTCAGTTAAAGTTCGTATTTTTTTGTCATTTTTTAAATTTGTTTGAACGTGGGGTGCAGATGGTACGAGAATAGAACTAGGATTATTTTATTTTGTAATGGATTAGGAATATTTTATACATCATATCAACTCTTAATTGGTGATGTTTCACCAATAATATTTGTGTATGTTAGTATCTGAATTGCCAATTGCATCATATTAGGTTCTTCACATCCTACGATCTGTACTTAATTATCCTTTTAATGGTTGTCTATTGTCTAATGTTTAACAGTAGCCTTTAGGTTGGAAATTTTGTTATTTTGTTGCTTGAAACATATTATTTTCTCTGATTTGACTGTTATCAATTTTTTCAAAGCTGTATACAAGAGATCAACTGTGCCTGTTTTCGTGGCTCATGGATTGGCGCAAGCATCTATATCTGATTGTGTGTCAGAAACATTTTCTGCCATACGCACTGTAAGTTTTCTGAAGTCCTTTGCTATATTATTTGCACGCCATTAGGATTTTAGAATCATAATCCCTATCAACCTTTTGTCATTCAGAAATCAGAATTGAGTGAGAGTTAAGATTGTTTGTGCACTTTATCATCGATATGGTAACCACTTGCTATTGCAGGTAAGATCCTTTGGTGGGGAAAAGCGCCAAATGATAACATTTGGTAGACAGGTAAGCTAATGCAATCTAGTAAATACAAAAACAGGAAATTCCTTCCCTTTCACTAAACAAATTTCTCGTGAGTTTGGCAGGTGCTAGCTTACCAGAGCAGTGGGATAAAGCTTGGGACTTTTAAATCTGTTAATGAATCTTTGACTCGAGTTGTTGTTTACATATCTCTAATGGCCTTATATTGTCTTGGAGGAAGCAAAGTGAAGGCGGTAAACTCTTGTGACCATTGTAATGTTTACTTCAGATTCAGTCCCTCATCTCCCACCATCCATTCATGTGTTCAGTCTAGCTCGTCTTGTCAGCTAACCAAATTGTGCAGAATAATTCAGGCCTTCATGATTGTCAATCACTCTCTCTCTCCCTCACCCGCCACCAAGAAAACTTGACCAGAAATTGTATTATAGAAATTCATCATATGTTTTTCTAAACTTTTCCTGTTTGCAGGGTGAACTCGCTGTTGGAACTGTGGCTTCTTTCATTGGTTATACTTTCACATTAACATTTGCTGTGAGTTCAGTTTCTATTGTTTTAAACTTTTTATACCTGTTTGCTATTTCCATCTCTATGCTATTGGTAAGTGCCTGATGTAACCTACCTTTCAGGTTCAAGGTCTGGTTAACACCTTTGGAGACCTTCGTGGAACTTTTGCTGCTGTGGAGAGGATTAACTCTGTTTTATCTGGGGTAGAAATTGATGAGGCCCTCGCTTATGGTTTAGAAAGGGAAATGCAACAAAAGAAATTACTTGATGAAAATTACAGATTGTTCCTCATAGATGGTCTGAGCGAGACAAATCAGTCAGTAAATACACATTACATGTCAGCTCTGAAATCGGGTAGTAACGTTAGTCGCTTAGCTTGGTCTGGCGATGTTTGTCTTGAAGGTATCTAGGATACATTTTCATTGAAGTGCAGTTATTAGCACATTTGCTTTCTGTTTGTCCCCATTGTGGTTTTAGTTAATATTACATTACATATAATAGGCCAATGTCTAGTTGTTAAGATGATACAAAGTTTCCCGTAACGCGCATTATCTGGGTATAATTTACATATTGTGGAATATAGTGTTTACTGTTGAATTTCTACTGCTGAAGTTCTACAGTGAATGCACATATACCATGTTCCAATGTGCCTACGAGTAACCTGATTTTGTTATGCAGATGTGCATTTCTCTTATCCTTTGAGACCTGATGTAGAAATTCTAAATGGTCTAAATCTAACGCTAAAGTGTGGAACTGTAACTGCTCTAGTCGGCTCAAGTGGTGCAGGAAAAAGTACTATTGTACAGCTACTGGCACGTTTCTATGAGGTCTTATTTTTCTTCTCTTTATATGTTTGAGGCATCAATTTCATTTTACTAGTCTTCAGTTGGTGAAAACTATGAATAAGTTCAATGTCTGATTTCTGCAGCCAAATAGAGGCCGTATAACGGTTGCAGGAGAGGATGTTCGAACATTTGACAAGAGTGAATGGGCACGGATTGTTTCTATAGTCAGTCAGGTAACGTACCTAATCCCCACATCTGACATAACAATTTTACACACTTCCTAATTTTCACATAATATTAACCTTGGTTTTGCTCATATACTTTCAACATTTTTTTTTTACATTTCTCCATTTTAAAATGATACAGGAACCTGTACTCTTTTCGGTATCTGTTGGAGAAAATATTGCATATGGGCTTCCGGATGATCACGTGTCAAAGGATGACGTGATAAAAGCCGCAAAAGCTGCAAATGCTCACGAGTTCATAATTTCACTTCCACAGGTTGGTAGTCCTTGAAATATGTTGTGTTTACTCTGTGATTTCGTGTGTTCTTTACTGAATGCTTATTTTGATTTTGAAAGGGTTACGATACACTGGTTGGTGAACGTGGAGGTCTACTTAGTGGTGGCCAGAGACAGGTATGAAAATCAGTTGAGAGAGAGAGGGAGGGAGGAAATTGGAGAGAGGCAGTGGTACTTATGCTTTTTCCATTTTTCTTTTCACCTGCAGAGAGTCGCTATTGCGAGAGCTCTGCTTAAGAACGCCCCAATCCTAATACTTGACGAGGTAAAACTGCCAGTTTGCTTTAATCACGTCTATACTCTAGTTCCAGTGAACAAATTTAGTTCCAGTCCTGATCGTCATTACAAATGAATCTGGAAATATCAGTTTCATGACTTTGATTCCCCATTACCATTTTCCAAGCCCCATCCCAGGTTAGGTTTTCATGTATTGTTCTTTGCTGCAGGCCACCAGTGCGTTGGATGCAGCGAGTGAGCGCCTAGTCCAGGATGCACTGGACCATCTGATGAAGCGGAGGACAACGTTGGTGATTGCTCACCGATTAAGCACAGTTCAGAATGCGCATCAAATTGCATTGTGTTCTGATGGGAGGATAGCTGAACTAGGAACCCACTCTGAATTATTGGCCAAGAAAGGTCAATACGCTTCACTGGTTGGCACTCAGAGGCTGGCATTTGAATGATTTTGAAACATCTCCGATTGTTGAAAACAAGTAAACGACAACGGAGCACACAAGTGAGTTGTATCCATATAGCATATAAAGTGATGGCTGTAGTTACAGAACAAGAACGATAGCACAGAAAAAAATTCATAACTTTTATGGTAGATGATACCTATAATTTCTGAGAGAAGGAAATAATAGCATTCAGGTCGGCGAGGCCTTCCGTGGGAAGGCTAAGGAAGGATTGATCAGAAAGTCATCAATAGGATCAACGGTTGCCACACCAACCAGTCTGCATTTCCTTGTTTGTCCAACCTCTCCCCTCTTCCGCTTCTCGTTGTTCCTTTCGATTCCTCGGATGTCAATACCGTCTTCCCCAGCAGCGGAGGAGCCTTGTAGATGCTCCCAACCGAAAACGAAAACTCCGCCTTGAATTCAAGATCAACCTGCATAAAAAAGTACCAACCAGAGTGGTTATGAAATGTATAATAACCAGTTAGTAAGTTAACGTGGCGCGGAAATTGGTTTTTATCAAAGCATATTTTACCTGCCCGGATTCCGGATTGAGGCTCCCACTGAAGAGCTCCGGGGCAATGTAAATCTTCAGAAACGGCGGCAATGGGAACCGCAAGGACTTTGTTGTTGCGCTCGCTAATGGTGGGATATAGAGCCTTCCGATGTCAAACGACACCAAGACATCTCCAAACGAGTCGCTCTCCGTCATCTCTGCAGCAGAATCAGTTCCTGCACCACCTTCAGCATTGTATTATCTGGCCATGCCAAGCTTGCAGGCACTCAAAGTCTTGAAGTTTACAGAAAAAAGCTTTGATTTTCGAATCTTCGGTTTGAGTGTAGGAAGGGGAAGAGAAGGAGATGATGGTTTTTGTTCTGGGATTCTGGTTTTCAGTTGGGAATTTCCAGAGAGTTGGAGGGTTGGAGGGGTTTATCCTGCAGCACCCCATTTTTGGCGGGCACTTTTCTTTTTGTGATTTGTGAAGATTAGGTGAACTACATATATGAGCTGGGTCAATTGGTAGCATAATACAATTTTTTTTTTTTCTTTTTTTGTGCCCGATAGTCAGATTAGGTGAACTGTTCGACCAAATTACGTAGGCATGGAACTCTTTGCATTGAGGTTTGTAATTTGTACCTACGCGTTGAGAGTAACTTATGTAGCAGAAGCATACTGTAACCAGATCATCATGTGTCATGAAAGCTCTTCTTCTGCGCAAGGAAAATTCACACCCTAACATAGACCCATCTTTGTGATTAAGATGGACGGCCTACCTGATCCGACTATCAGATACAAAAATTTCTTCTCTCGAATTAGAGTCCAAACCCCCTCCCATAAAAAATTAAAAAATTGTGAACAAGTGAGGTCATGGCTGATTCGTATTTGTTTGTATGAGAGGTCAAAAGCAAGACTGTTTGGTACTTATTTTCATAGTTTGTGGTGATAATATTAATTATCTTTTCTTTAGGGCAAGCCAATGGATAACGGAAAGCTGTCTCCTAAAGTAGGGCTGGCACTTGGCAGAACATTAAAAAAATGAGATGGTGCTTCGTTTACCTACATGCTTAGTGACTCAGTTTTCCACTCTTAGCAAATGTTTCTTTCTCGTTAGGTGATCCGTTTTTCTACCTCTCTTGTCATATGATTGGAATGTATCTGTAGTTTTTCGTTCTTTCGATTGTATCAGTAAACAAGAATCTACCTACGGCAGCCTTGTGGCTCATACGGGAAAGTATTTACTATTTACTCATGGACCAGAGATCTCGTGTTCGGCCCTCCTGATACCGCCTGTATCGCTGACGAAACTGATAGGGTGGATAACCAAAAAAGGCCAGAAAGACATATCACAAGACTTGGAAAGCAATGCTGTGAACAATTACTTTATACAAAAGGGCAGAAGCTCATTAGGCATAAATCATTTAGCACTCTTTCTGGCTACCAACATGAAAAATGGTACTAAACATCACAAATCAGACGAACGGAAACAGAGACACGAACGATACATTCCATTAGCTTACAGAAGCCTGTCATTTTCTGGGTATCGTAATAAAACTTCATCGGAACCCTCCACCTCCATCTGTCGCTCTTCCTATATATCTCTCATCATACCACCAGCTACTTGGAGTCGAAACTACAGAGAAAAGTGGCACTAAGCAGTAGGAATCAATCAAACGGTAACATGTGCTTGATACTATGCATGAGTGAAAGACTTTGGACTTCACATGGCCATCAGGGCCATCTGCCTTATCTTTTACTGCTTCAGGTCCACACGGTTAACAGACAAGAGAAGATCTCAGAGATGTAGGAAGATTTGTGCATGATGACCAACGAATGATTGACTCGGTCACCATGAAATCTAGTTGCTCGTGCTCACCAAGTCCAATCGTACGGTTTCTCTTGTTGTGAATGGCTGACGTCCTTGTTCCACCTGTCCTTTTAGCTTCGGCTGGTTTGTTAACCATTTGTCTCGTTTCAAGTCTGAACGAAAGGGAACCTGGCAACAAGAGCAGCTTCCCATTAAAACGATTGAGACAACGATAATTCTATGATACTGGTGCAAGGAACAGCAAAAAGGAACTCAAAATACCTCCATGAATTGCGTCTACTCTGGATATGCTGGCTGAAAACTCTATCGCACAACTACCTTCCTCAACCAAAGAACCAGGGCTGAAGAATGCAAAGCTTGGCATTGAGGGAATGGGGGAGGAGAATTCCAAACTATTAGAATCACCATCGCTGCAGAATGAAAACCCGCCTGATGCTAAGTGGGGAGCAAATGGTTCCACCATGAGAGCAGAAAAAGATGACCTACAAGTAAATGTAGGTGATTGGGCATCACATGCATTATGTGATGCATTGCCAAAGCTGATGTCTTGACTCCTGGACATAGTACAGAATGAGCTGCCGGCTACATCACATTCTCCACGGCCTCCATTTTCACATTGACTCGGTTGTTTAGGATATGGTTCATTAACCCTCATCCAAGGATGATCTACAAAGGAAATTCCCAAAGAACACAGATAAGTCAATCCAACTTATAAACTCCGTTGATTTGCCAGTAACACAGAGAGTGCAGATTACAGGAGTCATTGATGCAAATATTTTGATTTCTTAGAAGAATTACAGCGTATAGATAAATAGCAAGGAGCAATGGCCTATTTGACTGAAAAAGTTATAATTTTTCATGTTTTGAAGAATACGGACAGATATATGACTTATACCTATATATGCGCTAACCAAAGGAGAGCCTTTCTCCAGTTTCATCTAACTTAAAGATACGGTCATATAAATGAAATTTGCTTTTGATTCTTCTAATACAGTCATCTTCTAGAACTTAACTAAATTTCAATTACCACCTTCCACAGTCCAAAGATGCCAAAATGGGATGTCCGGACTGTTAAAGCATTATAATAAACTCTGTGTGTGTGGTGTGTATTTGCGCGTGCATTTGACCTACCTAAAACCTGCTGAGCAGTGAGCCTTTGTGAAGGATCTTTATAGAGCATTGCTCTAATCAAATCCTTAGCTGATCCAGTAATGCGATCCCAGGGATCAGATGGGAATTTCAGGTCAGCTGTCCTAACAGCATCAAATATCCGTGATTTTGTCTTCCCCCAAAACGGCGGCATTCCACTAAGAAGAATATAGAGAATAACGCCCGCACTCCATACATCTGCAGCCTGGTTATAGCTACCTGCAAGTACCTCAGGAGCTATATAAAACGGACTACCAACTAACCCATGCAAACTCTGCCCTGCTTCAACCAAAAATATTGTCAAAAATCTGAACTCAAAGTTTTAGCGGGATAAAGTTAACCAATATAAAGGAAATATAGAATTACCGGGCTTGATGTAGGTTGCAAGACCAAAATCTGCCAACTTGATTGGAGACGAGGAGGCTTTTGTGGCCAATAGGATGTTCTCTGGTTTCAAATCTCTGTGAACAACCCCATTTTCGTGACAATATAGAACTACCTGAATCAAATGCCTAAAGAGAACCCTGGCATCAGACTCAGAGAATCGTCCGTGCTTCTCTAACTGGTGGAAAAGCTCCCCTCCTGCGCAAAGCTCCATCACCAAATGGACATACTCTTCCTCTTCATACACCGCCTTGAGATCGACAACATTTGGGTGCCCAGATAACCTGGTCATAATTTCAATCTCAAGTTTAATGCCTCGCACATCGTCTGAGGTCACTAATCGATCTTTAGCAATTGATTTACATGCCAAGACCTCTCCGGTCAACTTATCGGTGCACACCCTAATAACACCAAACTGCCCCCAACCTAATTGCTCTCCTAGCATGTACCGATCTTTTAGATTTGAAGTCTCGTTTGCATCTAAAATGGAGGAAGTCAAGCTTGCAACTTTGTAACAGTTGCACGGCCACGTTGATGCTGCACTGCTGCTGTTGCTCCTGGCAACAGCCATACCAATATCCCGCTCCTCAACCACCCCGACCAATAATCACAATTTCAGCTCACAAATTTCAACTTTCCGGCCTTCGAGCACATTGTTTCAAAACCCTTTTCCAACAGATGAGAAACCTGAAGTTTGAAGTCAATATCTTGATTCACAAAAGCATACTCTGTCAAATCAGAAGAGAAGCTTCCCGGGATAGTAATTAAAGTTCCCAATGAGGCTTCTATTTCAGCAGGGAATTCCTTTTTGACGTGACTGGATCACGTGGATCCAGTCCAGGGGGAAATCAAGCTGTACAAATTCAGTCTCAAGCATTAAATCCAAAACCAAAAAGCAATTACAAACGATATCCATTGGAGCAATTCTATTTACAGCAAAAAAAACCTTGCTTTCTATCAACAGGTTGCTTCTTTTCGGACTTTTCGACACTTCAGAAAACAGAACTTAAGTTCAATTCAGACACAAATCTCCCGCTTTTCAAAAACCGCCCAAAAATAGAAATAATGGAAAATCAAAAGTTTGAGCATTTCTATGAATCGATCCAATAACAAGCTCTAATCATCTGAAAACAAAAGCCAAAAGAAAACCCAAAATCCATCAACCTAAAAAGTTCCCAACTTTACTTAAAAAAAAAAAAAAACAGAATTCAAACACAACCCATCAAAAGTCCAGTTGAAACTAAAGCAACCCAGATCCAAATTTTCCAAGTGCTTACAAAAAAAAGCACTTATAAACGAAACCCAGAACCCCAAATCCACACGCACTCAAACATATACATTCACAGAGAGAGAGAAAGGGAAAGTTACCTGCTTGAAGAGAGATAAAGCACAAAGAAAGGAAAGGAGGCCGTTGGAACAGTGGTGGAGCTCCGCAAGACAGAGCTCTTGTGTCCTGTGGCTTCTCTCTGCTCTCTCTCTCCTTTGGATGTTGCGCACTTGGCTATTTAGCCCAGTGGTCAATATTGTAATTCACCTTTTTTTATTTTTAAATTTTGTATCTGAATATTTGTGAGCTGACTTAGCATGAGAGTTGTCAATTACCACAAAAAGATTTTTCAGTGCATGAACCGTGATTCGGTATATTAAATTTATAATATAAGCGATTAATTTTTTTTTTTTCAAATTTTCAACGACCTATATTATGACAATTAATCAATCAAACTGTATTCTTCTGAATTACCTGGAGCCTATCATTGGATTTTGGCTTTGGCTTCGTCCGAGGCTGCTTTGAACTCTTCTTGTTTGCCCTTGTTTTGGCTCCTCTCTGTTTATTTACTTCAACACTTTCTCTGTCTCTCTCGATGGAGAAATACTCTTTTTTCTTTTTATTTTATTTAATTAATATTTTTTACGTACGGATCTTTCTTTCTCTACTCGCTGGGTTGGTTCTGGTACCGCGTACTCGCCTGTTATCCGAGATTAAAGCTTCTATACTTATTTTGGTGTATGACTTCTATTATTGATCGACACGTGTTAAATTTATGATAACAAAATTAAGGAATGTTAAGTTTATTAACATGTGTTAATCAATGATAGAAGCTACAGAAAGATCACACACAAAATAGGTGCAAAACATTTAAACTCGTTTTATGTTAGCCAGCCTTGGAAGTAAGTCAACTCCATCCCTAAGTTTAAGAGTTCGATTATGATGAGTCTTTATATGACTAAACTCTAATTAAAAAAATCGTCTCAGGAATTTCAACATTCTCTTTTTCTCTCGGACATATTCTTACACAACATTTTGATCAACAATCTAACAATGTTGTTATCGATCTCATTCCATAGTA